TATCATTATTATAATACATGTAATAATACATGTAATAATAATAATAATAAGCCGAACAATTTCATCGAAAACTGTCCGGATGTTTTCAGCTCACAAAGCATTTTTTTTTCTCCAGGCGAGAGGGAACAATTTGATTCATTCTGTCAACAATCATATTTAAACTGTGATTCATTTGTGTCCTTTATGACATTAATTTAGAAATTCAATTTCGTCAAAATGTTTCTCTAGCACATCCAGCTGATGCTACAGATTATATAACCAACAACAAAACGTCAGGGTGTGGCACACCGACCATAACTTAGACATCGTGGTGAAATCAGGCCCTCGTCAAAATAATGACATCGGAGAACCGGGCTTTTTTCCGTCCTTTTGGCAATTTTCATTGAATTTTTGTTTTTTGATCAATATCTTTAAGCTCCCTTTAAAATCACATTTTGTGTTGATTTACTTGAAAACATTGATTTAAAGGCACAAAAAATGTAAATTCTCAGTTTCCAAGGACTCTCAGACTATGTCAGTCATTGAGTTTTGGCAGCCATTTCCCCGCTAAATTTGCCCCTGAAATCAAGTGACCTCCACCTTCTTCAACCACAAATATCTCGAATTCAATTTGAGATATATGGGTATTTTTTTCCACTAAGAGCAATCCAAATCAAGAGGCTTTAAGATGATACCAATAACTCCATATTGTACCGAGAAAACTGACGAGAGCCTGATTCCACCGCGTCGTGACACATATCATTGTGATAAAGTGTTGTTTTCAGCAACATAATAACATTTTAAATGTAACCCAGTAACCTCGGGGGCTCTCTTGGCCTAGAAGATAAGGTGTTCGCCTCTCATTCAATAGGTCACGGGTTCAAACCCGGATAGCGACGGGAAAATGTTTTCCTTTCACCTCCTTTCCTGCTCTCTAGCAATCTTCTGTCGTCTGCTTTCGTCTTCACTTTCTGTCCCAACCCCCTTACCACCTTCGCCTCCTTATCTTGGCTCCTGATTCTTTTTGCAGCCATTCTACTGCTACTCCTTGGCTTCTTCTTGCTGTTATCTTTCAGCCACACCCCCTGATCTTGTGGTAGGAAAGATCTACACCAAGCCTTCTCGGACAAGGATGAAAAATCTCGGAGGTCCCTTGTGCTAGATGGGCATGTTAAAGATCCCTTTGTGGTCCCAAAATCGATAAGAGTAGGCTTCGGCCGCTAAGCTGGCAAAATTCAAAATGTCATACCAACAGAAAGTGTTTAATGTGTCCCGCGGGCCCATATGATCTTATGCAGTTGTGAGAGCCCCACAGCACCC